TACGCTGTGGGGCTCAGCCCTGGCCGATTCTCAACCTTGTTCATAGGAATGGGGGGGGTGTGTAGGACACAACACTGTGTTAAGGGATGGAGAGAAAGAGGTGGGATAGATGTGATGCGCTTTTCAAAAGATGGTGTGTAACATTTCACAAAGCCCTAGTCTTCTGGTCTGGAAGAATGGAGATGGAGTTGTGTTAGTGCAGCTGACTGAGAGGTGGATGAGAAAAACAGGGCAATGGGATTACAAGGCTGAGAAGTGTTGCATTTTCCTTATGAATTAAGAAAAGAATAGATGCTTATGCACATACACACGTGCGTGCAGACCCGTACAGAAAACTCAGGAATATCCCCAAGTGCTAAAACTCATAATGGAAAACTGTACTCATCTTAATTGGGCTTAAGCAGTAAACCATACTGAAATAGAATATATCATATGTACAATGTCTAGACTCCTGTCAGCTGCAAAGAAGGGACTGTTTTATCCCCTTCAAATCAAACTTAGCTTATCAAGCAAAGGATTGGGGCTTACCATTTTTCTCTTGGGCCAGATTGGTCAGAAAGCTGGATTTTAGAAATAATTTGAGAAGGGAAAGCAATGTGCAAATCCACCACCTCCAGCTTGAAGTGTACAGAGATTCTCTTTCTTCCTTCTGTTGGACCAATTTAGATCCATAACATTGGTGTTGGATGTGTTATACAGCTGGAGAGCTGGGCAGTGCAGAGGGCTCCCATTTGGGCTTGTGAAGATCTGAGCTGCTGTTTTTGGAAGTTTCTATTGAAGATTTTCCTTGGGCTTCCACATGGTGGGAGATGCGTTGAGAGCTAGAAGGAAGGGCAGATCTCTGGAGCACTGTGGTACGGGGACCCCCAAATGATTAAGCAGAGAGAAACACAGTTCAGAGTAACAACACACATGTGGTCTCAAAATAGGGACTGATGTGGGAACGCCAAGACCCACTGAGGCTAGCTAACATTGCTGCTCCATCATTCTTTCTTTCATTTTCTTAAAAAAACAAAAAACAGCAAAATACCATTATAGAGTTTAGGGCAGTATTTCTCAACCTTGGCAACTTGAAGATGTTGGACTTCAACTCCTGGAATTCCCCAGCCAGCCATGCTGGCTGGGGAATTCTGGGAGTTGAAGTCCACACGTCTTCAAGTTGCCAAGGTTGAGAAGCACTGGTTTAAGGGGCTAGACATGCCCATTATTGCAGATGCATGTTTTATTATTTTTCCTGTAAAATCCTATTTTCTGGGGGGAGTGGGGGGAGGTATCACAGTTGCAACAGACATCCTGCTCCCAC